GTTCTCCAGGTAGAATAGGTTTCCTAGTAATCTAGGTCTAGGTCTTACCTTAGGTATTTGAACTGGTACTCCTAGTTCTCCTAGATAGGATAGGTTTCCTTGTATTCTAGATCTAGGTCTTACCTGAGGTATTTGAACTGGTACTCCTAGTTCTCCTAGATAGGATAGGTTTCCTTGTATTCTAGATCTAGGTCTTACCTGAGGTATTTGAACTGGTACTCATAGTTCTTCTAGATAGGATAGGTTTCCTTGTACTCTAGGTCTAGGTCTTACCTTAGGTATTTGGACTGGTACTCCTAGTTCTCCTAGATAGGATAGGTTTCCATGTACTCTAGGTCTAGGTCTTACCTTAGGTATTTGGACTGGTACTCCTAGTTCTCCTAGATAGGATAGGTTTCCATGTACTCTAGGTCTAGGCTTCCATTCCACCAGGAGGTCGGGTGGATACTCTCGCCATCTTGACATAAAAGGAAGGATTAATGTTAAGAAAAGCTATTATTTTCAAGTTTCAATACTTCCTTTCTTGATCAATATTGTTTGATGGTTTGTCGCTGAATTGTAGAAAATGATGGAATCTTGATAAAAAGTAGAAAAAGTGGAGAGTTAACTGTGAATTTAACAATTCCCTCCTTGCCCCAGGCAGGGTAAAATTATTTATCAGTTTCGTTCTTTATTTTTTTTATTATTATGAAACAAAAAAGTTAAATTTTTACAGAAAGTGCAGCGTGAAGCCCTTTGAATGCAATGATTATTAAAATAGTTGATAAATGATAACACCAATAATAATAATACCTTGTAAACCCCTGGTCAGTATGATCTCTCTGATTTACTTCACTGTTTAACTGCTCCTCTGTAAAAATATCTTATTAAATCGTTCTGAGCATAAATATTAAAAACCCTTTTTTGACCGTGCTTACTGTTAAAAATCTTTTTACGGATTCACTGGATACGCAACATTATGGTTTCTTGGATCCGGATCCGCAAACTATACGGATCCACGAATCCGCGTCCAAGGGGCAAAATATTTTTTAATTATTTTGATAGATTAACAATTCCTATAAAGAATATAACTTTGTTTTGCATGCACAACTCACAAAACAACTATTTTAAAACCATTGAAAAAAAGTCTTAGCTAAATGAGAGGTCAGCATTATTAACTAGAATGGGGGCTAAAATTTTATTTTTGGCGAAGTTTTTCCACACATACGCTCCCTCTAAACTTAAAAAAATATATATATGTCTCTTTTTAGTCTTTTTAATCTAAGAATAATTAAAATTAAAAATTAAGAAAGTATTCTGAATGAAATTTTTATTCGAAAATGTTGTAAAAGGACAAATTTGTCTCTAACCTACTACTGATTCTGTGGTGGGGCATTTTACAACTCTTCCATAATCTACTTTTCTAAACAAATAACAAAAAATAGCAATAGCTAGTCACTTTTACAGCGGTTTTTTAATTTAAAGATTCACACCATTACTATCTTAAAGCTTAGTATATTGTAAATGGAAATATTCTGACTCGATGTTGGAAATTGATCAATTTTGTCTCTGCCATCGTTAGATACGACTTGTGGATATCTACTGCTAAAAGAGTAAATTGTCCCAATTCTCAAATAACAACGATGTTTCTGCAATCATTATTCAGATAGATGTTTAACGGTGCTCTTGTCAATCATTTTTGTCTTCATAATTAGATTGAGATGTCGGAAATAACATCATATACCACCCCCTATATTCCTAGAATTATTTTTAAAGTTCTGCGTTTATGTCTGAAGTTGAGATGAGGGATCATTGTGAATTCTTTGGGAAATTCAAGCCTTCTTTTTATATTCATTTCCATTCCCTAAATATTCATTTATATTCATTTCCATTCCCTAAATATTCATTTATATTCATTTCCATTCCCTATATATTCATTTATATTCATTTTCATTCCCTAAATATTCATTTAAATTCATTTCTATTCCCTAAATATTCATTTATATTCATTTCCATTCCCTAAATATTCATTTATATTCATTTCCATTCCCTAAATATTCATTTGTACTCATTTCCATTCCCTAGATACTCATTTATATTCATTTCCATTCCCTAAATATTCATTTATATTCATTTATATTTCCTAAATATTCATTTGTATTCACTTCCATTCCCTAAATATTTATTTGTATTCATTTCCATAACCTAAATATTCATTTTTTTCATTTCCATTCCCTAGATATTCAATTATATTCATTTCCATTCCCTAAATATTCATTTGTATTCATTTCCATTCCCTAAATATTCATTTATATTCATTTCCATTCCCTAGATATTTATTAATATCCATTTTAATTCTTGCTATTCATTTATATTCATATTAATTCCTAGAAAGTTTATTCAAATCACAGATAAACTTCAATCATGTCCTATTTTGTTTTATTTTTTAATTTTTGAGTGCTTACCTTTCAATTTTGTATCTCACACTCATTTCCTATAAAGTAGCTTCATTGTAATATTTCAGTTCTCACTCTCAGAAAAGTCATATTTTGAATCTGTCAATTGTTGATAAAATCGTTATATTGAAAATTATAAAATAACTTCAGATTGTAAAAATTTGTTTACGTGTATGAAGAATCATGAGTTTTTTTGCGTTTTGTAAAAAATATTCATAATAGGGTGTTCAATAAGATATTAGATTGTGTATACAAGGGATTACTCATAAAGGTTGATACTTCAGAGACGACTGTACGGAATTTATACCGTCTGTTTCCTTATATTCACGATTCTCCGCAACTGTAAACTTGTTTCTGTCTTGTTAGCTAAAAATAAAAAATAAATGAAACCTTGGAATTGTCATATTTAAGGAGTCGTAGGTCGAATTTACAGTCCCATCCTTTGTGGGTTACCCTGCAGCTCTCTCTTGGAATTTTTAGGATTTGTCTGAACTATACATACTGTCAGTAATTTGCCTTGAATTCCAATATGAACGCTTCGTACTGTTAATGTTGACAAAATATCTCTATTTGATCAACATTTTCTTGTTTAAATTGGTTGAGAACTAAGTATTGTATTTAACGCCGGTTTATACACAACTAACTAAGCATATGCAAACCAGTAGTTTCATACACATACATTTCTATCCAACTATCTATCTCTCTGTCGATCCATCTATCTGTGAGAAATTGTGCTTAACTTTTTATTGTTAAATGTGTAGCGGTATGTGTATATATGTGTATATATGTATAATAATATTAATCTTGGTATTGGTATTCAAGGGCAGCAATATGTAGGATTTCCTGTAGGTTACTTCCGGTCCTTTTTCTGTATATCTACACTTTCTGTCCTTTTTCTGTATACCTATACCTAAACTTCCTGTTCTTTTTCTGTATTTTCACGTATTGTTCTTTTCCTGTATCTTTACTTTCTGCCCTTTTCTGTATCTTTACTTACTGCCCCATTTCTGTATCTTTTCGTACGGTTCTTTTCCTGTATCTTTACTTACTGCCCTTTTTCTGTATCTTTACGTACGGTTCTTTTCCTGTATCTTTACTTACTGCCCTTTTTCTGTACCTTTACTTCCTATCCTTTTTCTTTATCTTTAAGTTCTCTCCCTTTTCGGTATCTTTACTTCCCGTCCCTTTTCTGTTTCTCTAATTTCTCTCCCATTTCCGGTTCTTTACTTACTTGATTGACCATTCTGAGATCAGAGGATAAATATATCTCTCATCGGTCAAGTCTTGAGATTTGTGATTTCCCTTGCTTTTTACTGGTTTCTCCTTGTTTTCCAGATTTTCATAGGTTTCTAGATTTTCAATGGTTTTTTTCTTGATTTCCGTTGGTTTCCGTTGAGTTTCATTGGCTTCATTGGTTTCCCTTGATTTCCCTTGATTTCTATTGATTTCGATTGGTTTCCCTTGATTTCCATTGGTGTTCCTTGATTTTTAATGGTTTCCCGTGATTCCCATTGGTTTCCTGTGATTCCATTGATTTTCGGTGGTTTCCCATATTTTCCATTGGTTTCACGTATTTTCCATTGGTTTCTCTTGATTTCCATTGGTGTTTCCCTTGATTTCCATTGGTTTTCGTTGATTTCCATCGGTTTCCTTTGATTCCAATGATTAACTTTTGTTTCCATTGGTTTCCCCTGATTTTCATTGGTTTCAATCGGCCTCTCTTTTTTCCTTGGTTCCGATTAGCATCTTCCATATTTTCTGAACAAAAAGTCTGGTTTCCCTTTCATGCATATATATATATGAAGAACTAGGACACACTGGACCATCTGTTGGTTATGCTTTACTTTGCTCCACATTACAACAATATGTGTATATAATTGTCTGTTTCCTGGTTACGGAAATGTTCTGTGGTTTCTTTATTACCAAGAAGTTGGCTCCCTTCAGTTTCTCTTTGTTTAATAAAATCTCAGTGCAGTAGAACAGAGAGTAGGGACTAACATGTATTCAAATGTATGTTTTTTTATTCCTCTATTGATTTAGTATTTTTTATCAATTCTACGTTTAGTTCATAATTGCAATGCATTATCTATATATACTTTGTTTTCTGTTTGTATCCAATAAACGTCAAAACGGTTGAACCGATTGGGCCCACATTTTTCTAGTCAACTTTCATATCCCAGGGAAGGTTTATGGGTCGTCAAAGTTGAAAAATTTTTGATAAAATATTACGCCAAAGTTTAAGAATGATAAATAAATTCCAGAGCAACAGATTGTTGTGAAACGAAAGAAGCCTAGTTTTTTATTTGTCATTTTTTAAGTTATCAATTTTCTTGTAGAAATATTTTCCTTGTCGGGGTCTCTTCTCTGTTTGTATTTATATATATATATTTATTGAAATAAAGTTTAAGTCGGAATGAAATTTTCATTTTTTTGGTAAATTTAAAAACTTCCCTGTTTTCTTTTATCTACATTCAGTGTTGTAACAAATTCTTACAATAATAATATATATTAATCATTTATCTATCAAATCTTATACTTTTCTATGATAAATATGTATCTATCTAGGTTCCTGGATGGTTACATGAGAGTGTACATGAAGCAGGAGGAATTAATGCGGATAGAGCCCTTCTCCTTGTCATTATAGCCTTCACTATGCTACTACTACACCTTATAAACTCCTGTGTAGCTAGGTATGTAGCAGTTTAGGGGGGCGGTGGGGGTATTGTTTTCATTTTACTACTCCTACACCTTATAAACTCCTGTGTAGCTAGGTAAGTAGCATAGGGTGGGGGTTTAGTTTTCTATCCGCCTGTGGAATAAATACTTTTTTTGGTCCAATATTAATTTTTTAACTTAGCGAACGTTAGGGTGATTTCTCGGAAGTAAATAATTCTGAGACGCTATTTAAGGCTTCGACTGCCTTGCTCGCGTGACTGTTTTCAACCTTTTCTCCCCCCCTTCCTCCCCCACTCCCATTCTTGTATTTGATTCTTGAGTCCTTATATTAAAATAATATTCTATTGTCTAATTTGCAGAAGTACGCGAGAGAAACCTTTACTGGCGAAACTAGCAGAGCTTGATAGGAAACTATTCCAGGTAATCAATTCTTTGCTAAACAATAAACTGTAAACTCGAAAATTTACAACTTTTTTTCAACCCGAGGTCGAAATCTAGGAACTATTCATTAACAACTTAATAGATTAAATACATGCTGTTGCATCTTAAATTCCGTATTTCATTAATTTTATATTTTTTGTATTTTTTTCACGTTTTTTGTTCCCTTTCAAGGTGTTGTGAAAAAGTCATGTACTGTTGAACGTCTATGATAGATGCAATTTTGCAACTAACCTTCTTATAAACTATGCAGTATGCGTAACATTTGTTCAAGATGAAAAACTTATCTCCCTAATTGAAGTTCATTTTAAGGTTTGGAAGGTACCGGTGTGAATCGGATATTTTACTCTAAAAATGTAGATTGTAGGGTCACTTGAAATTAAGTCAACTCGATCTTTACCCTTTGATGAATTATTCCATTATGTAATGTACTGTTTATTGTACTAACGAAGTTCTTGTACGTACTTAACAAAATGTGCTGTTTAGAGTATTAACGAAGTTCTTGTACTCCGTAAAGATGTACTTGACAAAATGTACTGTTTAGAGTACTAACGAAGTTCTTGTACTCCGTAAAGATTTACTTAACCAAATGTACTGTTTAGAGTACTAACGAAGTTCTTGTACTCCGTAAAGATGTACTTAACAAAATGCACTGTTTAGAGTACTAACGAAGTTCTTGTACTCCGTAAAGAGATGAGTGAGAATACTGGGTCTATGTCTACAGTATCATCTGCTCAGGTATTATTCATATTTTATTTTATCTTGATTTTAATAATGTGGTTCAAGTCAAGACCCTAGGTGCCAAGTTACGCAATTAAAACCATAATATTACGTTATATTTGTAAAATCTTATTTTGAATGTTTTAAAGTTGACATTTTAATGATGAAATTCAAATCAAGACAGGTTTGTATATTTTCTTCTCATTACCTTCCCACTTTAGAAGACGGGTATTGGGTATGTTTAATTGTGCTAAGCGGAATATTAGGGGAAATACTATTAATAACTTAATTTTTGGGTAAAAAGTAATAAAGAATGAAGTTTTTTTTTGAAGTGCGTTTTTTAAATTTTTTCTCTAGATCCTCAAAAATCTTTTTTTATCTAGGGAGCTTTAATGTTGCAGAAATCCAGTGGATCCGGAACCTTGGTAATAAATGTTTTTTCTATTTTAGGTCCAAGAACTAGAAATACAGCTGGAGCAAGCAAACATTGAGAAAACTCAGCTACTTAATTATCAGCAGGAAATTCAGAAAAGGTCAGCGATGATATTACTATTATTATTATGATTATTATTATTACCAACCATTATTAGTGATATTGTTCCTCAATCCTTCCATGGAATGCATATTTTTTACGGATTGAATTACATCTTGGTCACAGGTAATTTACATAAAATGTTTTTAGATGTTCCCAGTTTGAGGAAGAAATGTACCGTGCAGTTGCAATTCAGCAAGATAAGGAAAAGGTTAGACAATAGATTTTTAAAATTATTATTTTACATTTTATTTGGGGCAAATGTAGCTTATCATAAATGCTGATAGTTTTTCTAGAATTTACAATACCATTTCCATCTATCTAATAAAACAAGACATTCGTAGATATGTCACTGATAGCCGGCCAAACGGCTGGACTGATTGGGCTGAAATTTTTTGTGGACACTCATGGGTGCCGGGGCGTATCTAAGACTTAACAATTGAATTTTTAAAAAAATCAATACATTTTTACCCCGGGCCCATCAGCTAATATTATATATAGGAGGCACATTTTGGATATATATTTTATTTAGGAGGCTCATTCTTAATACGGACTAGGCTTATTTTTACTGGACATGGAGAATTCTTTTGAATTTACTTTCTAGGATTATGTTTAACATATAGGCGACTTATTTTGTATTTTGTATAGATTAGAAGACTCATTTTGAATATAGAAGGCTGGTTTTGAGTAAATAGAAAGCTGGGTTTGAAAAAATATATAGCTGATGATGTTTATCTAGGAGGCCGAGCTTGCAAGGGAGGAGAAGGAGGCTGCTCTTGAGGAGCTCAAGTTGGCGCAGGAGATGGTGGAGGAGATGATCAATTCTCAGAATAATAATCAATCAGATGATAAACTATTAGAGGTATTAAATCAATTCTCAGATAAACTATTAAAGGTATTAAATTTATTATCTGATGAACTATTAGAGACATAAAATCAATAGTCAGAATAATAATTAACCAGATGATAATGATAATCTATTTGAGGTATTAAATCAATGCTCTGGATAAAAAGCAAATCAGAAAAATTTCTTGAATTTTGTTTTTCTTCTGAATTGGAGAAATTTGTAGGGGAAATTAATACATTTTTGGGTTAAAAAAGCATAAATAATGGAAAACTCTTTTAAGGTGTGGTTATCTGAATTGTAGAAATTTGTAGGCGAAAATGAATACATTTTTGGGTTAAAAATAGCATAAATAATGGAAAACTCTTTTTAAGGTGTTCTTATCTGATTTGTAGAAATTTTTGGGTTAAAAATAACATAAATAATAATAGGTACTTTCATTTTGTATGACTAATTTCTCGTTTTTCCCAGATCATCTTAAGCGGGTAATTTATTACTACCATGACTAAGATTATTTGTTTAGTTGGTGCAGAAGCTGCAGAAGCAGCTTGAGAGTCAGCAGGATATACTCAAGCAATATGAACCAAAAATGAAAAAGAAGGAAAAGGAAACTAAAGAACTTTCCAAGGTAGCTGGATTTAAATTGGATGAAAAATAACTTTTTGAAAAGAGATTAGAACTTTTTATAATTTTTTCACGAGAAAGCAATTTTTGCTATATTTGGGACATTTGACAAATCAGAGCCAACAAAATTTTTCTCCTGGTCAATGAGAGTTTGTGAAAATATTGATTATCGGTTTCCGTTGGAACGCCATGTTCAGAAAATTATTAATAATTAAAAATTAAAATTTGTTAAAAGCTAAAAATTTGTTTCTTTTTTAAAAAAATGGCGTTTTTTTTTCTTTTTATAATTTCAACTTTTTTCACGGGCAATGTCGGGCCTTTCAGCTACGAATTAAAAATTTTATTAATAATTATTAATTTGGAAAAAGATGAAAACGTATACTTAAAATATATTACCTAAAAAGAAATTGTGCACTTCTGAGGACGCAAATTGTTATTTTAATATTTGGTATTGTGTAGGAGGTGAAACAGCTCCGAGCTGACCTAGCGAATGCGAACCTAGCCAAGGATAAATTAACAAGAGAGATGGAACAGAAGGATCAGATCGCAGAAGAGAAATTCAAACTTTTAGAGAACGTGACAAAGGTTTGTTAAATTTGCAATTTGCTTTTTTAAGCAGGTTGGATGGCTTACAAATTAACATGTAAAAAACGTCATCATTGTTAAGAATATTTTACAGAAATCCAAATCCAATAAATGGCCAGCCATGGATAGCCTGGCGAAGGCAGTTCTATTTATTTAAAACTCATTTTCCCATCCTATTTTTCATTTCAACCGTTAATATTATTTGTACAGAACTTAAACGTCACCACAGGGCTTTAAGTTAAGGGCGCTTCGCGCCATCCTCTTGTTCAATTGTGAAAATTTTCTCTTTTTATACATTGTAAAACAAAACCAAAAAAACGTTCGTGGATTTCATAAAAAAAAAATGTTGAATTTTGTCGGAGGCAAATTTTTTAAATTTTGATTATTTATAAACCTTCCGGGGGTCAAGTGTGGTCCCACACAAAATTTGGGCCCGATTGGTTCAGCCGTTTTCACGTTATTGGATTCAAATAGACTAGCAACAGATCATTTACTCATTGATCCATCCCATTTTTTAACCTTTATTATTATTTGATATACAACGTCACTTGTAGTATTTTAACCAAAAATTCAATTAACGGCTAGCCTTCGAATGCAGATCTATTTATTATTATATGATGATTTAATTATATTATTTGTATAGAATGAGCAGGAGTGGCAAAGTTTAACCGAACTACTTCAATCCCAGCTGGAGGAGAAAACTGAACAGTATTCAGATCTTGAGACAGAACTTAGTACAATCAAGTAATTATATTATTCCAATAATGGAGATCAGATAGGTAGAAGATGGGGTGTTTCAAAAAGTAAACTATATTGAGAGTGGGGGAGGGTGTATTTACGTTTTGGGACTATCATATTTAAGAATGTATACATGTAAGTTCAGAAGATGTTGTAAATGCTGATCCCTCATAGTCATGTAATTATCAGTAAAGGGAAGTTAATCAAGGTTCTATATTGAGACCTAATGTAAATGTTTAAGTCTATTGATCCCTAATAATTATATAAATATTCAGGTCTAGGTTGAGTATATATAAGAATGAACTAGAAAGTAAAGAAGAGTTATTATATCATATCTGTTCGGTTCCATAGTAGTAAACCTATCGTGTAAGAATTCCCATTATTACACGGTTCAGGAGGAACAATTTTAATATTGTTCCCTTCCTAGCGTTTAAGAATGCTTATTCTTACACTGTAGGTGCAGAAATTTCATTCTTTAACGCCAGACCGTGTAAGAATGGAAATTATTACACGCTCAGAGCGTGAAAGAATGTATATTCTTACACGCTCCGAGCATTAAAGAATGGAAATTATTACACTTCTTGAGGAATATTCATTCTTACACGCTTCTTATATTGATCTTTTCAACATAGATCAATATTGGTCTTAACTTAATTATTTTGTACTGACAACATGCTCAGGACAAACTTACCTTTTTCTTTTATATTAATACATGCAGACTTACCTTTTTATACTTTAAAATAACATGCTCACTTACCTTTTTTACTTTAGTAAAACATGCTCACTTACCTTTTCATGCTCACTTACCTTTTTCGTTTTTTGAAGTATTGATATATCTTTATTCAGGAATTTCTATTTAAATCTTAACCTTAGTCCTGAAAGAAGAGTGGAACCCCCTGTGTTTAATTAACATTTTCTAACCTTTCCAAAAAATATAAACCATGTACTTAAAGCCTTCCATTGGACAATTTCATCAAACTACCGAGTCTCAAAGGATACTGCCCGGATGCCTACTTTATTCAATTTGTTTTTGGGTTTTCTTCATTGCAAACAAAGTTTGGTGAAATTTTGCAAATCCCTGCATATTTGGAATAGAATGGTTAGAGCTTTTCAAAAATGGAAAGGTTTGTCATGTCTTCACGATTTCAATTATTTTTTTTTTTCACTTTATAAAGTTTTAAAGTACCTCAGCCTGAGTCAGAGATGATGAAGTGAAACCACAAACAAAACCAAAAATTTTAGTTTATAAAAACGTATCATTGAAATACTATTGTCACAACCTTTAGTGGCCGGTCTTAGCACTCCATATTGAAAACAAACCAGTAAATCTTGCTTAATGAATAAAAGACAAATATCTTAAATCAGTTCATGTCGAACTGATTCTTACTGATAACCTGATTTATCTCCTCTTTATGGAAGATTTAGGATCTAATATCCAGGAAATGATTTCTTTTGTAAATGATTTCACGATTTTGTTCAGGAGATAAAGACAACCCACTACAATACCTTCTCCCCATCTAAAAAATACTCAGGGCACATTCAACATGCTGTATCTAAATGTAGTATTAACTTGACAAACAAGCAAATTCATTATATATTGGTAAACAAACAAACTAAACTATGGAAACAATCACACCACATGCATTACTTTCAAATTAAGAACCAATTTTTACATATTAAATGGTTTTAAACATTTTAACATTAGAAAAATAAAAAAACAGTGTTAGTCAGAACAAGAGCATATAACTTATTTGCAACCTTTCATAATGTGAACTGTTCCAACTTGAAATAGTTGGATTTCACCAGAATTATTTTTTACTATAATTTCTTGGGTATGTGCCCATGGAACCTCACAAATATGATATAATAATAATCTTGTGAGGATAAAAATGTAATAATGGAATTCTTAAACTCGATGAAATAATCTTGATGCATTCTTTAACTCAGGCCTGCGGCCTTCGTTAAAGAATACATCAAGATTATTTCATCTCGTTTAAGAATTTCCATTATTACATTTTTTTCCTCATAAGATTATCATAATCAAGGTTCTAGATTGATCCCTAATAATTATATAAATATTCAGGTCTAGGTTGAGTATATATAAGAATGAACTAGAAAGTAAAGAAGAGAATAATCAAGGTTCTAGATTGATCCCTAATAATTATATAAATATTCAGGTCTAGGTTGAGTATATATAAGAATTAACTAGATAGTAAAGAAGAGTTAATCAAGGTTCTAGATTGATCCCTAATAATTATATAAATATTCAGGTCTAGGTTGAGTATATATAAGAATGAACTAGAAAGTAAAGAAGAACAAGTTGAGGTTCTTGAAGAGACAATTCTACAGATGAAGAAAAAGAAAGGAAAAAGGTAATTTTCTGCTACTTAAAAAAATCAACATTTTTCCCCATATCATAAATTTAATTTTAAGAGAGCTTTCAATAAATAAATGATATTGATTTGACCCTAATCGAATTTAGGAGATTTCCTCTGAAACCTTTAAACTACATTAATAACAAGAAATAGTGGAACGAAAGTAATCTTCTTTCTTTTTATATTTAATGAAATGTTACTGGATTTTTTTGTTTGCATTTACAATTAACATGTCCGTTAAAACCATTACAAATTACATTTTCCATTTCTAATAAAAAGAAAGAGTAAAGACAACTAGAATTCTAATTTTGATCACCTGTAATTCTAATTGGTGTCATCCTTTTTATTTTAAATTGCAGACTTTTTTCTCTTTGTTTAGTGATGATGAGAAGGCTGAGGGCTGGGAACTAGGAGGAGGAGAAGGGGATGGAGAAGGTTGGGAGGTTGATGATCTAGGAGAGGTTCTGGATGAGGAGGATGGTGAGGAGGGTAGTGAGGAGGGTAGTGTCGAAGTTGCCAAGTATAAGGTTGCTGCTAAGAGAGCTACTAACAAAATGAACAGGATGGAAGATGAGTTGAAAACGATTAGAGAAAACCTTTCTCAAGCATCAGCTCAGGTCACCAGTTTAATGTATTAAAATCAACGCAAGGTGTATATAAGTTTAGATCGCAATCGAATCTCCAATATAAATAATAGCGCCTAAGACAATCCCTGAGTTCCATGACATTGTTTGATTTACTGGAACGGGTTTATTTTAAATCAAAAACAAATCTTGTTTTCTCCAAGTTCATGCATCATTTCTTAATTTCTTAATTCTTGAAAATATATCTCTGTTATAATTCAGGGGATATTAGTTCCAAAACTAACATTTGGCCCATCTCTAACACTGAATGTTAGAAATGGGCCAAACTTGTTTTACTTGTTTACTTGAAGAGGAACTTCTAAGGGACCATCTTGATCCAAGGAAGAAGTGTCAGCTTTACTGGTGACCCATACCATATCAGCGTAGGGGCACATGGCTCAGATACATCTTCTTAAATTGTTTGACATTTCTTGCATTTTTGATCTTCAAAGTTATGTGTTCAAAAGTATATATCTTTAAATCCAAGGCGAGTAGAACAAAACTACACCATACATTTATAAAAAATGGCTAAAACTATATATTGAAACAATTAGTGTCAATTTTAAACAAATAAAAGTTGGGAGAATTAGTTTTTGATGATTCTTGATTTCATTTTTGAACATATCCCTATTTCGAAACAATTACCGGATTTCCGCTCATGTCGCGTTTTCGGAACAGATCCTGGTTTTGAGACAATTACTGGAAAAATTACAATGTAGATTTAACTAGAAATGCGGGAAACTGTTTGTTTAAATGCTTGAAAATAAATCATCCATATTCTCTAATTTAACAGATGAAATGTGGAAACTTAGATTCTAGAAATAATTCAGAAGTTAATCTAGTCTTTATAAGATATTTTTGGTTTTCAGTGATTTTAATGTTTCAAATTCAGGATATGTTCGAAAATGGAGAACCTGACATTGTCTTGAATACAGACAATAGATTTAATATAAAAAAGTTTAAAATTGGGAATTGTTGTCCTCTTCATGTTTAATAAAATGTTGGTTGTAGTTTTTATTATCGGCTTTTATTCTGGATATGGGCCGGGATCCCAAAACCCAGTCTTTAAATTTGTGCCCATTTCTATCACTCAGTGTTATAAATGGGCCAAGTGTTAGTTTTGGAACTTATGTCTCCTGTACTTACAACAATGGTTATTTATTTGGCCGTGTCTTCAGCTAAAATGAACAATTGTTACCCGTTCGAAAGTAAATATTGTACCAATATTTTTCATAAACAATGTTAATAACCTAATCTTTTATTTAGTTGTCCACTAAAGAGGAGGAAGTGACCTTGTTACGAAGCGCCCGTGATGAAACCGTGAAAGAACTTGTGGAAACCAACAGGTTTAAATCCAATTTCTTAATATTTCTTTTTTACGCTTTTTCTTATATACTGTAAGAATCTGAAAATGTTCTTAATATTATCTTTTCCTGGTTTTAAGAGAAGTTTGAGAGATAAATATGATCAAGTTCAAATTTAAATAATTTTGTCTAGGCGGCTTGAGGTTCTTGAACAGTTCTTTAATAAGAAGGAAGCTGAACTGCAGAAACAGTTGGGATTACAGAGTGCGAGGTATTTTTTATTATTCAGCATCAGAGGTCGGAACTAATAAATAGTTCTGCAACTTATTTATGATTAAGAGCAGATTTTTATTAGCTCTGATTGGTTGACGTTTTCAACAGACGAAGATCTGATTGGTTGATATCTCGGACCTTCACAAATATTAAAATATGTCGACAACGTAATATGTGGATTAGTGCATTTTTCCGACCAATCTGAGGGCTGAATTTTAAAACTTGAAATACTACAATATTTGATCATCATTCGAAGGATAATTTTTTTTAATATTCTAGCCTTTTGCTTGTTTTGAATTAACAAACGACAATCTGGATAAATAAAATTACTTAAATCTAAAAGTTTGTCAAAACATGAAAAACATAAATTATATCGATAAAAATTCTTAAATCTTATCATTTTTTTCCTTCTTCAACCGCGTTTTTAACCTTCTATATCTCATACTTATTTTATAATTTATTTTATTGAAAAAATTATATTTGAGACTATTGAACATGTAACATTTATGAAATTAACATTCTTTAACATTCTGAATACAAAGGTGGCTAATTTAACCCCACTTCTATCTGATGTTTAGATTTGGTGATGTAAGCAGTAGTGCTGACACTACAGCCAGACAGTTAATATCCGTCACAGAAGAACTTGATTCCACGAAGGGAGCTATTAAGGTAAAAAGGAAATGTGAATTGTGAATATTCCGTTAATCATCAAGACTTATTTAAAGTTACTGTATTGGAAAGAAATAATTATGATAAAATATGGGAAAAGGTAAAAAAAAACTTTTTTCTCTCTTGAAGTTAAATTCTATTTTTATAAGAAAATTTTATCCTGGAAGATATATGTACCCAAACCAAACATAAATGTCACCGTGTTACAATAGATTTTACTGTATTAGTATTTTATTTTTTTATTTTCAGGTTTTGAAATCTGAACTTGAAGAACAGGAGAAAAGTTTGAAAGCTGCTGTAGCCCTTCAGGTGTAAAAAATTTATTTATGGATAACTATTTATAGGCAATTTTTTTATTCCTGAATTTTATCTTATGAATGTTTCGAAATAAGGAGTTTAAGCTCGCAAGCCGTTAGGTGATTTTCATAAAGCTTAAATTATTGTTTTTTTCCTGTCAAAAACTGGAACCAAATCTAAATTTTGAATCCGGATATGCGTATTATGTATACTAGATTTGGAACCCAACTTAGCCGGGAAAAATTCTTTCCCTGTTTAAGTTAACCCATTAAACTTATCTTCAAACCAATCTAAGAACATTTCCGCGGTTCTACCGAGTTCCTCATTAAAAATTTGAGGCCAATCGGTCAAGGGGAATTATGTTTTATGATCAAACTTAGATGTTTGAATTGTTTTCAGGAGAAGAAAGCGCATGAGAACTGGGTTGCCGCGCGACAAGCTGAAAGGAAATTAACTGATCTCCAGGTAAACAATCAATCAGTCATCTTGTCAATCAGTTAACTGTTCAACCAGCCTATTAATCATTCAACTAGCCTATTTGTAAGCTAATCAACCAATTAATCAATCAACTGGAATATGTATCACCAATTAATTTTTCAAATTAATCGATCTCAACTAGCCGATCTCGGGATAAACCACTCTCATGTTTGATTTTTTTTAATCATTTATGAATAGTTATGTATCGAACAGTGCTCCAACATTTTCATTATTACTTACCTTGATCTTAAAATCAACGAGATTTTTGTAACGCCACGGTAGAAATGTGAAACTTTCCTTTCTAGCTGTCGATATGCAGGAAATATAGACACGAGAAATTAATTATATAAAAATCAAAATGATGTTTTGATAAAAAAAAAAACAGAAAAATATGTAAATTTTAAAATCTTGTTTCATACATTTTTTCCTAGTTCCGAATAAAACGTTGGTTTTCAGAAATGTACAAAACAAATTAAAAAAAAACTTCGCCCATCTCTAATCATGAATTATTTCTCGCCTTAATTCTGCAAGTTAGTAATAAATAATACCAAGGCATAAAAAATTAGGATATTTAAATGTCTCATCGCAAAACTCTAATACCACCCCCCCAATCTTGATTTAGTTAGTTAACTTTAGGTTTGAGATGTGGAGTGTTCGTAAAACTCTTATTTTTTGTAGACTGAGGTTGGAACCTTGAGAAACCGTCTGACAGTTACAGAGTCGCGAGCAAACACTCTTGAGCAGGAGAAACTAGATCTACAGGATACCATTCAGAATATACAGCAGGGAAAACCAGGTAGCTAGGAGGGGTAGGATACAATTCAGAATATACAGCAGGGAAAATCAAGTAGCTAGGAGGGGTAGGATACAATTCAGAATATAGAGCAGGGAAAACCAGGTAGCTAGGAGGGGTAGGATACAATTCAGAATATAGAGCAGGGAAAACCAGGTAGCTAGGAGGGGTAGGATACAATTCAGAATATACAGCAGGGAAAATCAGGTAGCTAGGAGGGGTAGGATACAATTCAGAATAAAGAGCAGGGAAAACCAGGTAGCTAGGAGGGGTAGGATACCATTAAGAATATACAGCAGGGAGAACCAGGTAGCTAGGAGGGGTAGGATACAATTCAGAATATACAGCAGGGAAAATCAGGTAGCTAGGAAGGGTAGGATACAATTCAGAATATAGAGCAGGGAAAACCAGGTAGCTAGGAGGGGTAGGATACAATTCAGAATACAGAGCAGGGAAAACCAGGTAGCTAGGAGGGGTAGGATACCATTAAGAATATACAGAGCAGGGAAAACCAGGTAGCTAGGAGGGGTAGGATACCATTAAGAATATACAGCAGGGAGAACCAGGTAGCTAGGAGGGTTAAACTTAAAATTCCAGGAAAAGCAAAAACAAAAGATACTAATCATGACTTTTTCGGGAGCTTAAAATCAGTAAGTTCGGGGTTTAAAAAAGTAACTAGACACAAACAAAAAAATAATTCAATTATTCTTTATTCTTTATTCTTTATTCTTTATGATGGCATTTAAGTGGTTGGTTCCTAGGTCATGCTTAAGTTGGAAGCCCTTGATATAGCTTTTAAGGACCTTTCTGCTACATATATTGTAGCCCAGTCGGCGGTCATACAAGGTTCCGTTCATCCGAATTTTGGTGTGGTCTTTCTTTAACTATTGCTTTAATAAAACTGTTATAACAGTAAATTAAATGAGAAATGCATTATCACAGCTTTCATACTAACAAACGTGAAATTGTTTCATCAATTTCATCACTCAACCAGCCTTTCTTATTGAAGGTGGTTTCTTTAACCCTTCAGGTGTAGAAACAGAATCTATTCCATGAAACTTATTTTTGATTTGTAAACAGAACATATGAAGCTTAAGAAGTTGATCAAGTTGCAGGGTTGTTTTTACCAGGAATGTTATCTGAGATGGGAACTTTTGAATGGGATATCCTTAATCCTGATCGGATAATTAATCTGGAGATTAAAAATGAGTGGAGAACAAGCAATATTTAATCTGCAGATTGAGAAAAAGAGTGGATTAAGCGGTAATCCTGATATCCACCATTCTAAAGTTTTCAGCTCAGGCTAAGTGGTCCATTACTGGCATCAGTACTAATTTGGATTTAAGCCTCAATCTGTCTTTTCCAAGATGGATTGATATATTTTTTCAATATCTTCCACAAGTGATTGATTGATTGACAGGAGTAGGAGGTGTTGTCCGAAGTAAAGCTGTTTCCTTTGCTCCTGATACAGAGTCAGAAGCTGGCAAGTCCAGGACAAATCCAACATTAACAGGATGTCCCAATTAATTGAAACGTATCTTTTAATAAAAACTCTTTATGAGAGAAATTGATTCCTTTTATTTGATATTTCAATGAAAACTGGGACACCCTGTTTGAGTTGCTTTGTAACATCATTCTATTTTGGACAAATATTTTGTGCAAGAGAATTATATTAATTTTGCAAAAACTTCATATTCTTTTAATAAAACTGTACTCTTGTATAATCACATTGCATGACAAAAGATATTCACAAAGCACAGTTGAAGATGAACACTTAGGCACGATGTTACAAAGCTTTTAAGTTTTCTAAAAGCGTTTTTTTTTCGCTTTAAAATCCTAAGTTCCTTTTTGTTAGGTTACCATCACCGGCTTGATCTGCATGATTACTTTTTTGGGAGCCCATACAAAACATATCGTCACTAAACTTATCACCACAAAACTTATCGTCACTAAACTTATCACCACAAAACATATCGTCACTAAACTTATCACCACAAAACATATCGTCACTAAACTTATCACCACAAAACATATCGTTACTAAACTTATCACCACAAAACATATCGTCACTAAACTTATCAGCACAAAACATCGTCACTAAACTTATCACCACAAAACATATCGTCACTAAACTTATCAGCGACAAAACTTACCATTACAAAACTTATCACCACAAAAAATATCGTCACTAAACTTATCAGTGACAAAACTTATCATCACAAAACTTAGCACCACAAAACATATTGTCACTAAACTCATCACCACAAAACTTATCACCACAAAACTTATCATCACAAAACTTATCAAACTACAAAACTTATCTAACAACAAAACTTATAAAAACAAATCTTATCAACTACAAAACGTATCAAACTCAAAACTTATCAATAAAATTCATAAATCTAAATTTTTAAATCATGGAAATGTACCAACAATTTTTTAAAAATTCGCGAATTTTAAGAGAAAATTCGGTAAACTCTGTTTCCCAGTCCCTTTCTGGGTAGACATGGTTATGAAGGAGGATAGCTTGGGAGTAGGTGTTCCAGGACACCAAGATAAGAGTAAATCTAGATACAAGCGAAGGTCACAGAACAGAACAGTTTTGTAGTTTGATAAGTTTTGTAGTTTGATAAGTTTTGTTTTGATAAGTTTTGTTGTTAGAAAAGTTTTGTTTTAATAAGTTTTGTGGTGATAAGTTTAGTGACATTATGTTCTGTATGGGCTCCACTTTTTTGTATGTTTCTTTTTATTTTCATCTGTATCCAGGATCCTAGAAACTGTAACCTGGAACTTATACCCCAGATTTTGGAACCTGGATTCCAAAACATGGATCCTGAATCCTTCAACGATCTCAGAACTTAAATACAGGAACTTAGAACCTGCATACCAGATCCTGGATCCGGAATCATGGATCCTAGGTCTCAGATCTGGGATCTCAGATCATGGAACTTGGATCTTAAATTCCGAAACCTAAATTTTAAATCCTGGATCTAGGATCCAGGAAGAACCTGAACTGGGATCTTGGAACCTGGTTTTAGGATTCTGGATCCCGAAATCTTAATGCAATCTGGCTCCGGGAACCTTGAATTTGAATCAACAAAGAAAAAACAGCCCAAAAAGCAATCCAATTACTGATCCAGAACACTGGCATGATTTTGTCTGACATTTTTTCCAGCATGATTTTTGACTCATTAACTTTTTTCTTGTAACGTTTTGTATTTTTGTTGTTATTATATGGTTTATGTGTTTTGTTGTCTTATGATTACTGGTACAAAATTACCAAAAAAAAAATTAAATTGTGAACAATTAGAAATCTAGTCATACCTTTCTGTTTCATCTTTCTAATATAAGTCATCTAAAGGATACTGATATCTAAACCAAACAAAACCAAGAAGACTACTTATGGGATTGTCATTATTTCAACAAGATGTTTATAAGGCTTTCATTGGAAAAAGAAATTGCTAAAGTGAAACCAAGAAATAACCAAAACTAAGAAAATTTTAACAAATGAACTTTCTAAAAATTATAAAAACAAAATTTGTTAAAAGTTTCCACCTTCTCCACCAGCACAAACAATGGGATATTATCTTTATTACATTATATTTATATTTTTATCAAGATTTAGTGTGAATATATTCAGGGGTGTTTAATGCACTACATAGGGCTCTATGTGAAGAAAGAAACTAGGGGAATTAATAAAAACATTAAACACCCCTATATTTAATCACTTTTTAGAACATGATACCTTTTTCAACATTTTAAAGGTTTTGTGGTAAAAAGCTGATTAAAGGGCCTATACGCGTAATTTTAAGTGACCACCCTCCAAGCAAATATGGCAACGGCCGATTCACAACGGTACCATTGAAACCTCTATCTTCTAAATAATGGGAAGATATTTTTATTTGTCTAGTCTAGGGTTAAAACTGTTAAATTCTAAATACCTGCATTAGAAATGCACAATTGAAAATAATCAGTTTCCAAAATTATAAACATTAATATCTAATTCATACTTAATCAAACATAGAGAACCGTTGAGAATCTGGCATTGACACATTGCTTGAAATTACGCGTTTAAGACCCTTTAATTTAGAAAATGGGTCATCAATGTTGATATACAGAGCGTCCCATATCATATCAGATTATCTCCACGCTTCAGAGCCAAGAATACGCGCATAATACTCGAAAAACCTAGTATTTTCTGCAAGAAAATGTTCACAATGGCCTTATACAATTTTTATAATAATTAACTTTCATTAAATTTTCTGATTAGTCGCGAACATCGTAATTGAGAGCCAATAACGATCCGAAATGATGTGGGACGGGACACACTATTAATATTTATTGTTTTTTTCTTTTAGTGAATAACGGTGTGAACGGGACAAATGGGGGATGTTCAGAGACAAGTAGTATTGCTGACCCCTCCTCCCTACCCCCACTACCAGGACTACCAGGACTACCCGGACTAGCAGGGGTACCTGGTATACCTGGACTACCTGTACTATCCGGACTATCCCTACCTAATATGATGGTTCCCTCACTCCCTATGTTTGGAGCTATGATGGATGCACGACCCCCACCTATTGGACGCATGTCACCGCCAGCTAGAGACAGGTAATCTCACGGAGTAGTTCATAAGGAGAGGTCAGGGAGTAGTTCACATGGAGAGGTCACGGAGTAGTTCATATGGAGAGGTCACGGAGTAGTTCATATGGAGAGGTCACGGAGTAGTTCATATGGAGAGGTCACGGAGTAGTTCATATGGAGAGGTCACGAAGTAGTTTACATGGAGAGGTCATGAAGTATTTCACATGGAGAGGTCACGGAGTATTTCACATGGAGAGGTCAGGGAGTAGTTCACATGGAGAGGTCACGGAGTAGTTGACATGGAGAGGTCAGGGAGTAGTTGACATGGAGAGGTCAGGGAGTAGTTCACATGGAGATGTCTGGGAGTAGTTCATACGGAGAAGAAATTTACCGAGCAGTTTATTTGTAAATGGAATTCATAGGGTAGTAATATATATACAATAATGAAGGAGATAGAGTTAGTTTTGCTATGACGTAATAGAACAGCCAGTCTAAGAACTAGTTTTATCTTAAACAATCAACATTTAGTAAACAATGATTTCTAAAGCCTGATCCTCCCAGTTTAAGAATAACGAGCTTTGTTTACAATCTATCCTATATTAATACAATGAAACTTGTTCCTGTTTGTTCTTGCATTTGATATTACTTAAGACCATCTTAGTTTCTCTTCGTCGATAGATTCCTAAAAATAAAACAAGTTATTATTCATTTGAACCACGTTAACTTCTTAATTTTCAGAGATCATTCCTTCCGTTCCAGCTCCCCTCCACGAGGCCGAGATTATTCCCCGAGCTCGAGGTCGGAGCGAAGGATCGGAGGTCGGCGACCTCCATCTCCCACCAGATCAGATAGAGGCTACTACAGGGATTCATCCCCAGATAGGTAAATTCTTCGTCATTTTTAGTCTTAAGTGTGGACTTAACACATTCCTGAAAATCTTATTTGATTTGATTTTGTTTGATTTGGTTTGGTTTGGTTTGGTTTGGTTTGGTTTGGTTTGGTTTGATTTGATTTGATTTGATTTGATTTGATTTGATTTGATTTGATTTGATTTGATTTGATTTGATTTGATTTGATTTGATTTGATTTGCCTGTAACATGGTCATGAAAATTTCGAAATACCATCCAAATTAAGTTTTAAAACATTTTAGGAGTTTTCGCCGGGAGGATCGATTTGATCGTAGAGGTTCAAGAGAAGGAGATTATGATCATCGTAGGGATTTCGATCGTCGGCATGAATATGATGATCGGCGAGATGATGCTTATTATGATCGACGAGGACGGGATCACCTCAAAGAACCGATATCAGGTACCAATAAGAAAATTAAAACGCTCAGTGAAAGTCCAACCCCATCCCCTACCGTTCATAGTAGAAAGGGTTTTTTTAAAAATGAGAAAAAGAGTAAATTTAATCGTATGTAAAAATAGGCAAGTTTTTAATTTAATGGGTAATAATTAACTTGTGGGTTATAAAAAACTTCCAAAATTAATTTTAAAAGGGAGATACGTTGGAACCATCCCACAATGCAGCCCGCTGGAGTATTTATTTTCAATAATAAACCCCCCATGATTTTCCATGCCCTGAGGGGAAAAAATTTAAATTGGACATCAAAGAGCTAGTTATTCTAGTTATTTCATTTATTTTCCAATAAAATGTTTGTTTTTTTCAACTCGGCAAATAAAACTTTCATTTTCCATTATAAAATCCTATCATTTCTATTGCATTAAACCAGCCCCCCCCCCTGTCTGTCCACGATAAATGGTGGTATAATTATAATTTTTTTGAATTTTTAGGTCCTAAAACATCCTCTCCATTGGATTCAGGCAGTAGGGCTTTCGGAGTTTGAGATTATTATGTTAAACAAGATTTGAATCCGTTACGGTGTGGACTGTTCCAGAACAAAGTTAATTTATGTTCCTGGTTTAGTTTACTGTTCCAATAATCACTTTGTTCCTGGATTTAGAACTACCATTGTATTCCTTGCATTGTAAATCAAGTTGTAACTTACTGAATTATTGAGGGATTAATTTATCCCCTAAATTCCTAACTTTATTCATACTGTTACAGTGTTCCACTGTTAATTTCTGCAGTGATGGTTCAGGTTTGAGAATATGTGATAAAAAGCTAGTTTTAATATTTAAATGGGAAGTAATGTGGTTAATCAAAGATGCAAATCAGATGTTGTTTCTGTTTAACGTTAATCAAAGACAAGCTTTTAATAGGTTGATGTCTTAAACCAATCAAAGACCAGGTTTTAATATGTGGTTTTTATTGACTAATCAGAGGTTAGCTTCAAATAGGTTGATGTTTTTGACCTATGAGAGGCCAGATTTGTATATCTGAATGTCTTTGTCCAGTAAGCATTTTATAATCATCTGAACTTGATAACCCACAGCTTAAACGAAGCAAAGCCATTTAACTCATTTCAGTAAATTGATCATTGGCGTCAAATTGATATTTAAGTTGAAAGTAAAAAATTTTTTGTAAAAATGAATAAAATTACTTTTTTTGAGTCATCACACATTCCGCAATAGATAAACTTCTGTATTGTAAACTATAGATTAATTGAATACAACTGTCCTAATATTAACTGAGAAAGGCACCGGTTTATTGGCATTTCAGTGGTTCCACAGGAATCTGAGATTTTTGTATTCTCTTAAAGTTTAACGTTCTGCTAATGATTAGAAACCCCAACAAAACTGTGAGTAAAAATTAAAATTAATTTTTTTTCGCGTTGGCATTTTTATTTGTGTCGAAATTAATAGAGCAGACATTAGAGAAGTTTTAAACAAATTAAACATTTTCGATTTTTTGGAGTTCTCTAAAAATTCCTATGTTCTGAATTAGTTATATTTTCAGAAGAATTAATACAAGGCTACTGCCGCGATACTTAATTTCTGTGTCAATATGTTGAAGAACAGCAATGATTTGTGAAATATATGCAGTTTGCTTAATAATCCCCCCTTCCATTGTACTAATAGTTTTATCAATTCTTAAATTTATATCGAGCATTTTTAATAAGCAATATTTTCACTAAATATTATTTGTATGAAGTATTTATTATGGTTTTATTTATAAATAAAGAATTCTATTGATATAAGTTATTTTTTGTTCGGTGATGTTTAATATCAAAGACGGAAACGTTTTTGTCCACCCCTTGCAAGTCGATTTAAATATTGTAATTATTCAAGAATGTGGCGCCAGTATTCAGAGCTAACTTTTCTAATGGTCACATACAGTCCTAACTACTAATTAGAAAGAACCGGAATTAATTTACTATTAATCAGCCGACTTTATAATCTAATTTTGACAAATATGTTTGATGAAATGATAATCACAAAGTATTCCAAAATGTGGTCTGCCTTTTTGAGCATTTTAAATTTTAAGAGAGAATTATGTAAAAACATTGACAACCAAAAGTAACACTCGCACACAAATAAGAAGCAATATTTTGCCAACGACTCCTTTAAAACAAGGACTAGAAATAAGCGCATTGCATTTTAGAAATTTATATGTCTAGGGTTACAAACAAGTATAAGTAAGCTGTTGAGGTAAAACAAAAGGTCTAGTTGTTACAACCCTTACAGTCAAGGTTGTACAAAATTGTAATGACGAAATTTCAGAGTTGTCAGTATCTCTGCATGCACAGTGATAAATGTCAATTAATTCCGAGTTTTTCGAATTATGACTGTCTGTATTATATGCATTTAAAGAAAAGAATGACCCGGGAGCGTTTAAAGGGTTTAAAAGAGAAAACTACCATTTTCGGTGGAGGGTCACATTAAACTGCATTAAGTGATTCTTAAGTTATTAAAAAATGAAGCAAATATATTCAAATATTTAGACGTATTTATCTAAATCATTTATTTAAGTTTCTTTATTAATCCACTGAATCCATTACAGCCAAACATCATTTACAGAACATTCATTACAACACTATTTTTAGGCGTACAGGGGTAAAAATGTTATTTAGGTAAAATTAAAGGGAGTGTTCGCGTACAATTTATAGAATTTGTTGTAGTTAATTTTGAACCCCTTTAAAGGGATTATCAACGTATTTTTGAAGATTTCTATAATTTTAGACATAAATGGTTATGTCATTGATTTAGTTCTGGACAATATGTATTTTGATTTGCCAAATATCTGGGGTTTTCCGGCATAAAATTTATTCCTTGTAAAACTATTACTATACGACTCAATTAGAGCTTGTTTGAGTTGAGTTAATTTTGCAGTAATGGTCAGTTAAAATAGAAACAGTTGGTGTCTCCTACGCAAAAGAATTTTGCAATTTGTAGCTGTTTTTTGCACAAGTTAAAATATTTCCCGCAGTTATATCAAGTAAAAATGAGAATATGGTTTTCACTATTTAGTTTTCAAATTCAAGCAAGAAAACAAAAAAAATTACTTTACTGTTTTTCGCGACTGCAAATCTAATTTCTTTGCTAAAATTGATGAAAATTATCGTTGTACTGTTGTACATAAACGTTATTCTCTGATTCACAGAAACGTTGACAGTCCCTTTAGAGAGAGGGTTGTTTACAATGTTGACGAGTTAATGAGCGGATACATAAAATATTAATTAATTTCAGACTAATTAGTGTTAATTTCTAATACTAGGGGTTTAATGAGCTCCAAGGGAGGAAACCTTAGTTTGACAATAAATTGGTTCATTCACAGCCACACACGCGGTGTACACACTGTACAGTACTGTACTCTACACAATTCATGGACTCTACAACTACTGGGTGTCCAAGAAAAGTGTGTAAATGGGGTTTTAGCTCCTAAAATCAAGTAAAAACACTCAGAAATGTTGACACCAAATAGTTACATCATTAAAGGAGCTGAAATCCCTATTGACACTTTTACCTGTTAGACATAAAACTTCATCAAAGATGAAGTTTTCAGTGTTTCCTAAATCCACGAATTTACTTTAACTTGGCTTATAGTACTTGGTTAGATATAGTTACGTACAGTACTGCATGCAGTGTACAGTTACATTTAGTTACAAACAACATACGAAAATACATAAAATTTGGTTTGGTAATTATATTGTTACAGGGCCGGGACAGGAGTAGGTGTCACCAGAGAGTTATCAGAAAAAACATAGTATTCAGTGTTTAACAAGATGCTCTGGTACTATCTATAATCTGTGGATTTTAGTTTTCAATTTTTCAAAGTTTACATTCATGTTCACTGTTCATACAAATATGGACTAAACTAATCATGTTTAACAACATTAAACGGGGTAAACATTCACAATATATAGTGGCGTTTGTACATCAAGTGCAGTACAGATATCATAAATAAGATTTAAAGGGATGGCTCACCTTTTTCGAAATACACATAAAACTGTAATTTATCAAATTAGGTACGCAGCTACGCCAATCTCATCACTTAAAATTAGAATTATCGAGATCATTTTTGGATTTTTGAAAGAAAGTTTCGTGGATTTCATGAATATTCTTCTAGATTGATGAATCTGACTCTCTAATACTTTTGGGTGATAAGATTGGCTTAGTTGTCTTCCTCATTCCAAAAAGATAGATTTATATTATTTGTGTATTTTCAAAATTTGTAAACAATACCTTTAATGTTTAGCATAATTGGATGGTAGGATACCATGTAGTAAGTACAAAAAGATTAAGAATTATCTAAATTTAGAACAATACAGCTTATTTTCTTACTCTACACAAAGTTACATTCGTATAAAAACCAAATACTAGCGAATAAGCAAGTAATTAACATGTACATATAGAGCATAACAATATGCAATGGACGAGAAATGCAAAGTTTAAGAAAAAACGTCCGAACAAAAATAATAAATCAAATCCTCAAAGCCTTCTAGAAGATGTCTCATTCCAATTTTTTATAACTAAACAAATTAAAGAAAACACTTTGATTGAATTTCAAAAGTTCTAAAATTGTTTATTTTTCTAGATGTTTATTGTATAGGCCGAAACAATGCTTTGATATTTTTCCAGGTGTATATTTATTGACACCCATGACCATAAGAGAAAAAAATACGATTCCGCACATGTTTATACCTTCTCTTCGATGAAAGACGTTGTATTGAAAATTTCTATTATTAAAGGAGAGATCGGAGCATGTTGCGACTTTTGGCAAAATCAAGGAAAACTATTTTTATCTAAAAAGTCTATTATTTCAGTCTAAGGAAAGAATAGCAAAATTCTACATTATAAATAGGGGGAACGATTTAACAAGAAAAAAAGTGGCATAAATTAATTTTTCTGCCACAATTATTAAGCGCAAGAATCTTTTTAACAAGAATCACCACAAAAGTCTGAGAGCTTGATTGTCCACTGTAAAGTTTGCCTACTATTTACAAGGAACAGCCGCTATAAGGGACTAAAGAGACACGGTTTTAGTAAAAATTGTGTGTCATAAATTTCTTAAATCTATTTAATAACATTTCTTTTCGCAAATATAAATAGAAATATCCCCCCCCCCACTACCGATATTTAAGGGAAAAAAACGAGGAATTAGATACCAAAAAATGTTCAATATGTACTTTTGTATAAGTAAACCCCATTCAAATTCTGTACATTCTAGTATACTATAGTAGTATAAAAGTCAACAAATATGCTAACTATAACTAGTAAAGTATTTTCTTATTAATTACGTGATATCCTGGTTCAAAACTGGTTTAAAACTGGTTTCTGTTTACTTAAATAACCGGTTTCTGATTTCTAAAGCTACAGGCAGGGCTGGTGCGAAATTTTCCGTTTTCTAAGGTTTCTCTCGTTCTGTATGTGTTCAAAGCAGTTCAATTCTTCTAAAATAATCAAATAAAAATCAGTCATTGACAAATTATAAATATTAGAAACTTTAGAAATCTTGTAAAACTTTAATACATTGGTCGACGTTTATAACAAGCTTTAATTAACACGGAAATTTTAGCTACTGGACCAGACATAAGATATTATTAATCTTATTTATTGACTCCATAACTGGAACACAATTCAACACCTCAACACTTCAGCATTTCAACACTTCAACACTTCAACGCTGGAAACTTCAAAACTCCTTAACTCCTTATAACTCCATGAATAAATACAAAAAAATTCAAAAATATAATTTTTATTATATCAGTCAAAAAATGTCTGCAGGTATTAAAAATATCAAAGAATGCAATTTTGCATTTTATTCTTTTATATCGCTCTTGAATGTCCTGAATTTGTTGAGGTTGAGTGTCTTGGTATGAATATTTACAGAAGATGGCAAAAAAACTGATATATCAATTTTGAGGAGAAAAAAAATTGGTCGCATTAATCTATGTTTTGTTACAACCCGAATACAGGATTAATACATGAATATTCAAAAATATGTCTGCACTGCATAAACTGGTCTTAGGGCTTGGCCCGGATTTGACATAATGATTCTCTATCATAAAACTTTGATAGAATCTCATAAAACTTTGATAGAATATCAATAAACTTATAAGCTAATAATTTAATAAAAGGCTAGATAAAAAAGTATTTTTAGTGCGGAATCAATGAATGATTCAATGATCCATCTATTCAAGTACTAAAAACAAATTGAACATTTAAATTATTTTGATTATTACAAATGTCCGATCCGCTGCTATTTATTGTAATAATTGAGATTACTTTATCTACGATGAGTGAGGGGTATAAACTTTGTATCAATCTATCACGTTCCAGAGGTCGTCTTCTCCCAACCATTCTCCTGAAATTACACAATTAAATTAATCTAAATAGAAAACTTTTCAGTCTTGAATTTCCAAAATTTTTTTGCAAGATACAACATGCATGAAGTGTTACCCACAAAAGATGGGACGTTAATGTCAACATGGAATTAAAATTCAGATCAACTGAAAGTTTAATTTTGTCCATAGTCTTAATAGGCGTATATGCTTAGTGATTTGGCAAAGGTAAAAAAAGTTTAAAGTTAAGATAATATATTTTTTCAATTTTTTAAAAAAGTTTTTAAAGTTAGCTAGGGAATAAATTGTGAACAGTCTCTCGGAAGTTTCATCTTATTTTTCTCCCCGGATTACCTAAATATTTTCGCGGATTTACCTTAATCATATGCGCCAGTTCGATAATAAACTTCCCCTCCTTATACTTCTGGCTGGACTCGAATGCATGTTCGTATTTCCATCCTAATGTCGTCTTACAGCAATCACAGTAGATATCCGCCACAGCGTGGAGTCCTGTACCAAACCAAATAACATCTCAATTTTTTTCACAAATTAATTTGAATACGGTTTTCCTTTTTCAAGGGGGTTTATTTTAAAATCATTATTATTTTTGATTCAATTTAATTTCCAAAAAACTTTAGATCATCAACGTACTTAAACTAAAGGTAAGGGGATAGTGTTTTTATCACATTTGAATGTACCACATTTGGTAAGACTAGGAACACATAGATTAAAAAAATAACAAAGACGGTAAACAAAGTTTAGAATTTTTTCATTGCAGTCTGGTCTCTTTTATAACTCGTTTATTTACCTTAAATAATAGCAGTCCAAATATAAACACAAAATGTACACATTAACCATCTTCCCTCTACCTTTAGCACACATCCTTGATTTAGATATTTTCTATAAAGAAAATTAAATTTAATTAAATAATTTATTTGCGTATTTAAGTAATCTGACCTAAATTACTAAACTTATTTCCTTTCTCCTTTAGTTTGAACAATGTTGAATAAACAATTATTTTAGTTTGAATTTTAACCCAGAAAGCTGAGTTAAGTTCTTATTTTTGTCTCCTGTAATAACAGTTGAACTGAATTTTAATCAATGATGAACGCGCATTAAAGGAATTGAGTCTTTACCACAAACTCTGATTTTCTAATTAATATATCTTTGCAACCTAATGACGTAGACCTTAGACATTTCAAACTATGAATTCTGTAGGATCCAATATTCATAAGTTTGAACTATAAAAGGTTTACATCATAAGGTTTCATAGATATAGGGATTTGAAAATCAGAGTTTGTGGCCAATACTCAATTCCTTTAGCGGTAATCTTGAATGTTTATAGCTTGAGCTTTCCTTGGACGTTAATAGACGATAAAGCCGTGTTTCACTCGTTGTTATGCTTTTAAAAAAAGGTTTTTAAGAGAACCGTTTTGAATCGATGATTTAAAAAATAAAGGGTTTTCTAAGAATTCCGGTTGCAATCCCTTGAAGAGTTATATTTAGCTACTGCATGTCTGATGATTAATGATTCCAGGATAGAACACGCAACTAATAAATTATGTATTTAAAGTCGAAAAATCTTTTTAAAAAATTAATGCATTCCCCCCCTCCTTTAAGTTTATAAACTAATTGAGATTCTGCCAACATAAAGTTTTCAAAGAAACCGACTACAAAGGATTTCTAAAAGTAGAATCTTAAAGGGAACGTCGACATAATGTTAAGTAACCTTAACCCTTTAACTGCCAATCTACTACTGAAGCATTTTCCAAAAAAAACTTATGGATTTCTACGACAAAAAAAGGTTTGATATCTTATACCTTAAGCTCTAGTGTTAGAATGAGAATATGAGTTTCTTTTGCAAATCTTTTAAAAAGAATATTAAAAAAGAAATAATTAAATCTGAATTTACTATTTCTGTATTGCTAATTGGGCTAATTTTTTTGAAAGCTTTCAATTTAGAGAATAAAGAAACCAAAAGAATTGATTTCATCGAATTACACAAACCTGTAATCTGACTCTAAGTTGTGGTTTGCAAGGTTTGTTATTTTTACTTTTTTCCAGGTTGAAGTTGATTAAAAATAGGTTTTTTATAAATAGAATTAATGTGATTCCCTTCAGGCAACTTTTCTATTTTTAGATATTTTTTGTTCAATAGTAGTATATCAAAATATATGGATAAGAAAGGAGGGGTAAAAAGGGGGAGAGAAAGGTGAAGGAAGAAGGAAAAGTAAAAATAGGGAAGTATGATGGAAGGTGAAACTTATGGAAAATTTAAGGGAAGGGGAAAGATGACGTAAGGGGTAAGGGGAAAGGAAAGATGAAGGAATGGGAAAAGGAAGGGTAAAAGGAAAGGGAAAGGTAAAGGGAAAGATGAAGGAAGAGTGAAGTGGAAGTAAAGATTGAGAGGGGGATAGAGGAGGAAAAGATAAAGGAAGGGATAAGGGAAATACGCTGTAAGGGGAAAGGGGAAGGAAGGGGAAGGAAAAAATGAAGGAATGGGAAAGGGAAAGCTGAAGAAAGAGGGATTGGGAAGGAAAAGTTGAGGGAAGGGGGAGGGAAAGATGATGTAAGGGTCAGGGGAGGAAGGGGAAAAGGAAAGAAGATGTAAGACGTAACGGGAAGGAAGGGGAAAGGGTAAGGAAAGATGAAGAATGGGGAAAGCGGAAGGGAAAGATGAAGGAATGGGAAAGGGAAGGGGAAAGGAAGGGGAAAGGGGTAAAGAAATTAAAGAAAAGAAAGGAGAGAGGTAAGGGAACAAGAAACTAACCCTTTTAGAAAGTTTAAGTTGGAAAAATTATAAACAAGTTCGTATTACGATTTGTGTAACAAAACATTGGAAATATGAAGCATTATGTTAGGTATTTTTAACAAGACGGTAGAAATATGTAACATAATGTTAGATATAAGTAACAAAACTAGAAATTTTTATCATATTTATACTGATATATCCAACTTTGCGGTAGAAATTTGTAAACTAAAGATAGATATACCTAACAAGACGCTAGAAAAGCAGAACAGAAAATTAGAAATATTAAATGAGATGATAGAAATTGTAACAGATAGTTAGATATATCTAGCAAAATGATAGAAATTATAACAGAAAGTTGAATATATTGAAGAAGATGTTAGTTTTGTTCCTGTTAGAAGAACTCTCTCTTCTGCTGGACCACACCCAACATTCACAACAGAGTTGAAGAGATAGGCACGCCCTTGACTCCCCTAAACATAAACATATACATATATAAACTAGCTGAAGGGCCCGGCGTTGCCCGTGAAAAAAATGTTTTTAAAAAATTCTATTTTTTTAGCCTATTACACCCCCCGGCTACCCCTGAATGTCCACAAAAAATTTCAGCCCACACTCGGTCCAACAGTTTAGCCGGCTATAAAAAACATATAAATATATATGAATGTCTTGTTTTATTATATAGACTAGTAATCTTTTTTCTTTGTTTGTGTCCCCTAGACCGTTTTACTTTAAAATTTGATTTGGGAGCCCACTTGTTCAGTGCTTATGTTATTGTAAACAATCTTTATAATAATTCTCTTCGCTCATATAGATGTGTTTGTATATATGTTAGCTACAGCTGGCCAAACGGCTGGACCGTATGGGCTGAAATTTGAGAGTAACATAGGCTAAACAAAAGTATTGAGTCTTTGCCACAAACTCAAATTTTATAATCTCTATATCTTTGCAACCTGATGGTGTAAACTTTTTATATTCCAAACTTAGATTATTTGATCTCACAGAATTCATAGTTTGAAATATTTAAGGTTTGCGGCATTGGGTTGCAAAGATACAGGGATTAGAATATCAGAGTTTGTGGCATTAAATCAATTCCTTTTCCAGTTTCTACGGCAACGTCGGTAACTTCAGCTAGTTACTAGTAAATTAAAAGACTAGGTTATGTTCAAATACGTCATACCAAAATGTAAACAAACACTCTACTCTCTCCGATTTTCATTTAGTATAGATTTTAAAAGTACTTTTGTAATAAAAATTGAAACATCTCAGACTGCAGCTTTCATACTTCATACCAAAATGTAAACAAACACTCTACTCTCTCCGATTTTCATTTAGTATAGATTTTAAAAGTACTTTTGTAATAAAAATTGAAAAATCTCAGACCGCAGCTTTCCGCGCAAGCAACTCATTGTTTAAATGGGGTTGCAAGGGAACGTGTTATTTTTTAGGTGATATTTTATAATCAAAGGATGACTTCTAAGAAATTTCTTATTCATGAAATTTGATGAAATCTATAAAACGGCCAATATATATGGAATGTCCTATCTATAAAAATGTCTATGAAATGTCCAATCAATAAAATGTGATATCTATAAAATTTCTTATCTATGAATGTCTTCTGTGAAATGTCCTATCTATGGAATGTCACAACACCAAAAGTCTATATTTCTAGAATTAAACCTGGTCTCAATTTTTCTATGAGCATTATGAAAAGTTACTCGAGACATTAGGAATTCAGAGTAGAGAGTTTAAATTATTCTAATTTAATAAAAATAGTTCTGCATTTTAACATGTACATAAATTCTACTAGAACCTTTTAGATTCAGGAAAAGTCAAAGGATCGAAAAATACATTTAAATTGAATTTAATCCGTGGAAACTTAAAATTCAAAAGTTTTATAAATCACAAAAGTCTCCAAATAACAAGACCGAATCTACTAGGCCTATAAATATTAAAATTCCATGAAACTTTTATAAAATCTCAAAGAATAGAATTGGATTAGAATGCTTTAGTAAAGAATGATAGTAAACTCTAAAAGGTTTTTATGAAAGCAAAACAAACTTTTATCACAAAATGATTGAACAATTATCTATCATTTTAATTTACTTCAGAGAACAAAACTTTTCCCTAATTAGAACACATTTATATTTGATAAAAATTATTTTAACCTTGGTGAGTATAACACAGCCGTCAAGAATTAATGACCTTGGTGAAAATAACACACCCGTCAAGAATTATTGACCTTAGTGAAAATAACACACCCGCCAAGAATTATTGACCTTGGTGAAAATAACACACCCGTTAAGAATTAATGACCTTGGTGAGTATAACATAACCGTCAAGAATTAATGACTTTGGTGAAAATAACACACCCGTCAAGAATTAATGACCTTGGTGAAAACAACACACCCGCCAAGAATTTATGATCTTGGTAAAAATAACACACCCGCCAAGAATTAATGCCCTTGGTGAAATTAACACACCCGTCAAGAATTAATGACCTCGGTGAAAATAACACACCCGTGAAGAATTAATAACCTTGGTGAAAATAACACACCCGTCAAGAATTAATAACCTTGGTGAAAATAACACACCCGTGCAAGAATTAATCCCCTTAGTGAAAATAACACACCCGCCAAGAATTAATAACCTTGGTGAAAATAACACACCCGTCAAGAATTAATAACCTTGCTGAAAATAACACACCCGTCAAGAATTAATAACCTTGATGAAAATAACACAGCAATCAAGAATTAATGCCCTTGGTGAAATTAACACACCCGTCAAGAATTAATAACCTTGGTGAAAATAACGCACCCGTCAAGAATTAATGACCTAGGTGAAAATAACACAGCCGTCAAGAATTAATGACCTTGGTGAGTATAACACACCCGCCAAGAATTAATGACCTTGGTGAGTATAACACAACCGTCAAGAATTAATGACCTTGGTGAGTATAACACACCCGCCAAGAATTAATGACCTTGGTGAGTATAACCCACCCGCCAAGAATTAATGACCTTGGTGAAAATAACACACCCGCCAAGAATTAATGACCTTGGTGAGTATAACCCACCCGCCAAGAATTAATGACCTTGGTGAGTATAACACACCCACCAAGAATAAATGACCTTGGTGAGTATGACACACCCGCCAAGAATGAATGACCTTGGTGAGTATGACACACCCGCCAAGAATGAATGACCTTGGTGAGTATAACACACCCGCCAAGAATAAATGACCTTGGTGAGTATAACCCACCCGCCAAGAATTAATGACCTTAGCAACTCATTATTTTATAAAAATTTTAAGCTATAACTTCTTTAATTTCTTGCATTCTTCAGATTTAGACTCAGATTTGCACTCCAGGGATAATGAGTGAAATTGTAAAAATTAAACCTTTTTTCAAAATAGAAAACGACGATGATATCTAGATAGGTTTTAAGGGTACCGTTGTGAATCATAAATGCCACTTTTTTAAAAGAGGTTATGTGCTAGCAAAAACATTTCTGCGGCTCTATCAAAATCCCCGATTCAAATTTGAGACAAATCAGCCGAGGGGTTCGACATGAGTTATGAACAGATCTAATAGAGATTGATATTTACTTCTTAATAAACAAAGATGTACATTATCTAAGAATATTTATTGAAATAAATGATTAAAATTTACTTTGTGAAAATAAAAAGTTGAAATTTTCCTGAACGAAAAAGTTTTCTTTGAAACCTCATTGTAACCTTGGCAAAGCGGTTGTACCAGCATGAATTGCAAAAATGTTGTTTATCATGGAAACCAACATTAAAGGGAGTGACCGGCTATGTAAGGTAGTTGTACTGAGTATGCAGTGTTGTGGAAAACTTCTTTCGGATTCATTTAAGACATCTGTAAATCATGAGTTTGAGCGCAAATTCGACGTTCAAATATTTATTGCAATATCAAGTTATTAAGCAAAAAATAATCAAAAAAATTTAATAAATTATGCATTCTTAATAAGCGAATTAAAATATGCAATATTTTCAAAAACTAAATTTGTATTCAAAGAAAACTGAAAATGTGCAAATTCTCTGTAAAGACATCTGTGGAAAAATCCATGGAAAATTTCTTCGCCAAAATTGTGCAATCTGCCTCCTGTTGTTCAAGGCTTTTCAAAGAGCTATAAAATGTTATAACCCAATGACCGGATATAGGTCTAAATATAGATTTAGTCAGGTAAAGGTAAAATAAGGTATTTAGGCAGTATGCCTAAAGGACTCGGGCTGTAGGTATAAAGCCCCGCTTTGAACCTAATGGGGGGGGCATGTGTTATTTAGAAAAGTAAAGAAAGATTTAAACATCCTCAGACCCATAAGAAAAGTAAAGAAAGATTTTTTAATTGTTAAATTAGGTGTCCCTTTATCTGTAGAGCTACATTTCTGATTTACAAAAGGGTTTCCATTTCAGCTTTGTCTTATCAATTAAATTAACCATGTTTTGTTCTTTGAAAATTGATTATTTTTAATTGTGGTTTCTTTATATATGACGTTTGTATCTATTTCACAGAAGCAATGGAAGAAATTGTTAGAATTTAACACTAATAAAGCTAGAAAAACGGAAATTTTTCCTCATGATTCATCAGATAAAGGTTTAAAGGATACCTAAGAACTCCCCCCCCACCCCACCTGTGAATTTAAAGTTAGGATTAATGATCAATTTAATCAAATTAACAGAGAAGGAAAGTATAAAGTTTCGACAAGTTTAAACTTTTATGATAAATGATAATACAATATGGCCCCTTCTCTCAAATTTGGATACAATCAATTTCTACATCTTTCTACATTGACACTCTCCATTCGATAGATAAGAATTTAAATGTTCAAAGATGGATTCAAGATTAATGAGAGACAAAAGCTAGATAATAGTTTTGTCACATTCTTAGAGGTTCTTAAAGGTTTAGAGCCTTTAAAACATCGTTCGAAAAGAAAGCAAGTAAGGATCATTAGGGGTAGTAAGGATCATTGGGGGTTAGTATTACTACTCCCCCCCATCCTTATATTTTTTAAAGGGACTGTAAGCATAATTTCAAGTATTACTACTCCCCCCCATCCTTATATTTTTAAAGGGACTGTAAGCATAATTTCAAGTATTACTACTCCCCCCCATCCTTATATTGTTTAAAGGGACTGTAAGCGTGACTACCCGTGCAATGATAGAAATGCCCGATTAATAACGGTTCCCATTTAAGCTTTGTCTGATCAAGCATGAATTAGAAATCCATGTTGATCATTTTTAAAACTGGTTAATTTCAATTGTATGCTGGTTCTCTACAAAAGTGACTTGTTCATTTTACTACAGAAAAACTTATAGAAATAATCAGAACTGACTTCTTTTAAACCTTGAAGAACGACATTTATAGTTTATTTATCAGATAAAAGTATAAGACATTGCATAGAGGGTCATGCTTGAAATTAAACTTACAATCCCTTTAACAACCTCGCGTGATTATACTATTCCAGGTCAGGTTAGGCGAATAAAAATAGATATAGTCCTGCAAGAAATATAAAGGGTGTGGTCCAAATTACCTACACTCATGTTACCGATCATTCTTTATAAAAGAGATTAGATTTAAGTAAACTTCCCGTCAGATTAACCTTCAGATTGGGTGGAATCTAACCTCGACGAAAAAGAAAGTTAAAGAAAATGTTCTCAATTTATTAATCTTGGTCCCTAAAAATAAAATCTTTCACCAATTTCTAATCAATCAAGAAAAGAATCAAGTTTTTCCGTAAAAAACCAAATTTTTCCAATCCCTAAAGTTTTGCAACATTTGATATTGATTTTCTGATCTAACAGAATTCTTAGTTTGAAATATCTAAGGTCTACGACATTGGGTTGCAAAGGTTTAAGGATTAAAAGAACAGAGTTTGTGATAAATACTTTATTTCTTTGCTCAAGCCATAAAGCCATTCTTTAGACATTGCACGATTCACATCGGTACCCTTGACACATTTATCTGATTTATATTGTGGAATATAGCATCGTTTTTCTAGCTTGAGAAGTACTAAAATCTGATCATTTTTCCTCTTAATTTTATTTATTACAGAATAAATGCGCATATCACTTTTGTAAAGAAACACGTAACTTAAAGTAATCAGTTTTTTCAAACATGGGCATCTAATTAATTCTTGATGGGGTAAAACTTTTAAGGAAACCATTGTGATTCGGACGTACCACTTTGTAACTGAAGTTGAAATTATGTCTTCAGAGCTGAAAACTTTAAAATGGTGGATATCGAGATTAATGCTAGATCCTCTCTTTTTCTTAATATCGAGACTAAGATTATATACAGAAACGGGAGGGACTCTTTAAATTAAAAAAAAAACCGGTTTTTGATTTTTTCTACTATATCCAAGAAAGAACAGTTTTTAGAAGAAAATCAAAAGTGTGTCCATTGGATACTCAGATTAAGTATTTGAGATTAAGGATATCTTATTCAAAAGTTTTCAGCTCTGACTATTCATTGTTTGAACGTTTAAGAGGCTCCTCCATATTTTATAAAAGTTTAATAAATATAAAAATTATATGCTCATACAAGTTTGCTTTTATTACATTTTATTGCTTTTTATTGTTGACTCTGAAAGGAAGATTTAGGCCTGAATGGGGATTTCAAACCCTTTGATAGATCATATTTTTAGTTTCTTCCAAAAATATATTTTTGAATACGAGACTTTGAAGATATTTCTAGGATACTCCACTATAAACATCTTTATTTATTTATGTATCATCATCATCAACACCGAATTTTAAATCTAACACTTATACTTTCGTTTTGCTAAGTTAGACAGAGACTTCTTTTTAAATCAAAGGGTATTTAAATTGTTATTTAAATTAAATGATCTTGATTATTAGAAACAGCAAAATGTAACACATGACAAGTTGCGGATTATCGTGATTATCAGGGATTATCAGTAATTGTCAGTGATTATTGCAGTGATTATCAGTGATTATTAGCGATTATCAGTGATTATCGTTGATTAACAGTGATAATCATTGATTAACAATGATTATCACATAAAAGATTGAGAAGAAATAAATAACAGAAATGCAAAAAAAATGTTTTTCGAATAATATCTAGAAAAGGAATTAATTCTCAGACAGTTTGATATTCTAAACCTCATTCAGAGGCCAAACAAATCATAAACAAAACAGTTTGCCAGGAACTTAATTTTTTTGTTATAATAATATCATTATTAGTTAAATACTTTACTGAACACATTACCCATGGAGTTCAGAATTAAATAAATTCTATTAATTTTTCTAAAAAGAAAAGTCCCATTATTATATGGTTTTATTTAATAGGAGAAACCATTTAAGTTATATTCAATTTTTCTTTCTTTTTGTATTTATAAATTTATCATAAATTATTTGCGTAGCTTGTCTTCGTCTTGATTTGTTAAATTGTTCGTACAAAACTGCGAAATTTTGCATTCTTATCGTTTTACAAAGTCGCTTTTAAGCGTATTTTAAAATAACATTTAAAAGCTGGATTATTGCAAGAAAGTTTGGGTATGGGTGTCTAATGTCCATGCATGAAATAAAAGAAATAATTATTTTCATATCATTACACTAAAGAGGAGAACTTAGAAGCCATATATATAAAGGAAAATATCTTTCATAAGGATTCTCTTTTAATGTGGAATAATGTAATTCATGGATGTTATTTATTCCCCCCCCCCCCCGTTGATTTTGGGCATAGTTTTTGGATTAGATTTTGCTTTCTACAAGCTTAATCAAAACCTACAGAGATTTCGTGTATTTCAAATTGCATGATCGTTTTTAAGCATAAGATTGAGAGGTGTTTTATTTACAGACTTAATCAGAAACTGAAGAGGTGTCACATATTTAAAATCACATAATCTTATAAATTAAACACTTGTAAACTGCTTAACCTTCGTTAACAAATCATTTTACTGTTTTTCTACTTGAAAAGTCATGTAATATCATTAAAAATGGAATTCAAATTTTAAATTTAATAAACCGTACAAATTTGGACCCATACGAAAGCATCTAAACTTGAATGAAGATTTAGATTTTTCTTATGAACAATTTTGGGCACTCCGTGAAACCCCAAGTTTAAAATCATGCATTAGATGAAAGAAGTTGGACATTCCTTGTTTTATGTTTGAAAACTTTTGTTTATAAAAACTTATTTATGTTCAAGGTTTTCTATTAAATAAATAGGATTTATGCTTAGTTTTAGAAAAGACATTTTAAAATTTTTAGATGTGTAAATTGGTTGCTCTCTCTTTATTTCTACTTTTATTAGATACTAGCTAAAGTGTCCGGCGTTGCCCGTGGAATAAAAAAAATTGAAGAAAAACAATTAAAACTTGATAGCCTATGTTACCCCCATTGTATCCCAAAAAATTTCATCCAATTTGGTCCAGGTGTCTGGCCAGCTATAGCTAACAATAACATATAAGTATATAAGCGGAGAGCTTTATTAAATAAAATTGTAAAGTAAAGTAAAGCTCTCACATCCAAATCTCTGAAACATTTATCAATCAATCAATCAATGTCAAGAACCCTTCAACCTTTCCAATGTTTCCCAGCAAATATTTTAATCTAAATAGTTTCAACTAGAAAATCTTTTTTATTTAGTATTATCTATATTTTTATTATTCTAAAGAATAAAACAAGACATTCATAAATATGTTGCGTATAGCCGGATTAACGGCTGGACCGATTGGGCTGAAATTATTTGTGGACACCCATGGGTGTTATAGACAAAAAAAAAAATTTTCCATTTTTTTCCACAGTACGCGCAATTTGAAGTGACCCTCCATGCAAAGATGGCAATGATCAATTCACAACAGTACCCATGAAAACTTTATCTGATCAATAATGTTGAAAATATTGTCGTTTTTCTAGATTGAAAAGTATGTATTTCTGATATAATAACTGTATATTTTTTCTGTCGTAGAAATCCGCCAGTCCAAATTGTAGAGAAACCACAATTGAAAATAATTAGTTTTCAAAATTATAAACATCTAATTCTTACTTGATCACACAAAGCTTTTACGAGTACCGTTGTGAATCAAGCATAGCCATCTTTGCAAGAATGATCATTTAAAATTACGCTTACGCTTAAATAACGGTTACTCGAAGAAGACCTCAATATCGGTTAAAACCGTCCTTTGCATCAAAACAATCTTATAACAAGATTGTTTATAATTGACTTTTTTTCATTCCAACTTCTTTTAATTGTAAACTTTTTCGTTTTGTATACATTGTAAAACAAAAACAAACAAAAAGTTCGCGGATATTTAAAAAAAAATTTCATGGATCTTCAACAATGAAAATAGAATTTTATTGGAGGCAAAACTTTGAAATTTTGACCATCTATAAAACCTTCCCTAGGGAAATGTGAGGTCCCACACAAAATTTGGGCCCGATCGGTTTAGCAGTTTTGACGTTTTATGATACAAAGAAACGGACAGAAAGATAAGCAAAGTATATATATAGATTTGATCTAACAAAATTCACAATTTGAAATATCTAAAGTGGAAAACATCAGGGCAAAGATAAAGGGATAAAAATCGAAATATTGACATTAGGGTTGCAAAGATATAGGAACTTATTACCTGAAATGATTTACTGATGAGTTCATCATGATTAGCTAAATGTGCTCGACAGTGCACGCAGGAATATGTTCTGAAAAAATACAATCCTGTGTGAACCAAAAAACTTGGAAAATGGAAGACGACAATATGGCAATATTTCAGTGTTTTTGATATTGTTACAAATAATTTTACTAGTAACTCATTAATTTACAAGTTAAGTTAAATTTGTCTGCTTTCACCTCACAATTTCAGTGTATCACATTCTTTGGACTAATTAAATTTATAACTTGAGTCCAAAAGTCGTCTTCCTATTTTCTGATTCTCATTGTATGTTTTTTTAAATAGGAATATATTTTTTGAAAAGGAAAACAATAAAGATTTTTGATAAAAGTATACACAGGAGTTGAGTCTTGGCCACAAGCTCTGATTTTCTGATACCTATATCTTTGCAAACCAATGATGTCGGAGACCTTAGATATTTAAAACAATCAATTCTGTTATATCAGATAATCTAAGTTTGAAATATTAAATGTCTACGACATTGGATTGCAAAGATATTGGAATTAAAAAATCTTTTGTGGCAAATTTCGCAGATAAAAGCATAAACATCTGTATTCTGTACATGTATTATTTCGCAGATAAAAGCATAAACATCTGTATTCTGTACATGTATTATTTCGCAGATAAAAGCATNGATGAAGCTGATGGGATGGATGTATACGGACCTGGGATGTGAAGTATGAAAGGGATGGGCTGGCTATAGGGGGACCTGGGATGTGAAGGATGAAGGGGGATGGGATGGATGTATACGGACCTGGGATGTGAAGCATGAAGCTGATGGGATGGATGTATACGGACCTGGGATATGAAGGATGCAGGGGATGGGATGGATGTATACGGACCTGGGATATGAAGGATGAAAGGGATGGGCTGGATGACCAGGTTGCACTGCTATCCCTACCTCGATGTTCCCTACGAAAAACAAGGTAATCAAGTTACGTACTAAATGTCGTCTTTGATCAAATGATCAAAAAGTATTTTTTAAATTTTAAATAATCAGCAAAACTTCAAAAAATATTTAGAAAACATGATTATATGTGAAAACATTATGAAACATATAGTTCTGCTTTTTAAAGCATTTTTTCTTTCGAAAAATTACATTTAAAAAAACATTTTTATGTAAAACTTCATAAAAGAAAGCAAATTTGTTTCGCAGCAATAACTTCTTTATATATCATTATATTCTTAATCAAACGGTTTTTGAATCTGAATTTGGCATGAACTTATCTACCAAAAATGAGTAAATGATACACTTTTTTAAGAGTTTTTTTCTAATTTATAAAATTGCTTGTTTGGGTTATAAGAATCTGAAAACTTGCAAAAACCGACTTTTAGACTCAAATTATTATTTAAATTAGTCCAACGAACATGAGACTAAGATATTATTAATTACAGCATCCATGAAAGAAAAACATCAATTGTTAAGTGCTCAGAAACATACAAACTTACAAAGCGATTTTACTTTCTAACAACTTTAAATACACTTTAATATTCCACAGTTTTCTGGTTCTCAATGTACAAAAAATGTTCAATTTCCAAATTTCAAAAATTAAAGAAAATAGATTTTGATTTTGAAATGAACCTAAAACCTTACCTTGATTATTAGTTGGCGCTAACTCGAGTGTACAATCCTGTAAAAAATGTAAATGAAGTAAAGACGACATATTCGCGGTATTTTAAAAAAGTTTATGGTTATTTGTTTTAATGTTTGAATCCAATAGACGCTAATAGGCTGAACATAGATTAATTAACAATAACAGATAGAACACCAGATGTCGTCTTTTCAAGATTTAGGGGTTTTTGTTCACAATAACCCTGAGGCAGAAGCCTAAAGGAGTTACGGGCATACTCCAGAGAGAAGCAGCTGTTCTACGCCGCATGCGCGTAACTCCTTTGGACTTCTGCTTCAGGGTTACTAAAATCTTGAAAAGACGAGATCTAGTGTTCTATCTGTTATTGTTAGTTAATCTATGCGGCTAGCCCATTCGGGCCAAAAAAAATTGGCATTACTAAAAAGATGGGGCGCGAATTCATAAAAGGAGATAACTATTTCTACTACCCTCTTCATAAAAAAGATAACAAATATTTAAACCATTTTCTGAATTTTAACTAATAGTTTTCTGCCGTGTTATTCTGTTTTTTATTTTAATTTTTAATTTAAACATATTTTCTACAAAAATAAGATAAGTTTTAACTAAGTAAAAATTTAAATTAGATTAACTTTAGACGCTCCTAAATTATGTATTTACAATGTTTATGATCCCTACCCCTGCATTACCTGGTCTTTTACCCCCCTGCATTACCTGGTCCCTGGACCACGGAGACTCTAAGAAGAAGCAAGAGGAGATAAGATTGCAAGGCATCAACTAAAACAATTAGTATGAAATATTTTATAATTTTTTCCCGCTATAAACTTATTTAAAAAATTTTATTCTTTTTTTCCAATTGTTCTTGATCCTGTTTTTTAAACTAGTTTTCTAGTTTTTTATCTAATTCTATTTTTTACAAACTAAAATTTTTCTTTCTTTTTAAAATAATTTTTCTTTTTTCAACTGTAGTTTGCTCTTTAAACTCTTCATTTTTTATAATTATTTGGCGGTAGAGCGAGGTGGGTGTACAAAAAATAAATATATAGATAATGTTTAATGTGTATGAGTGAACGTATGAATATCAAAGGAAAAATATGTACTCTTCTTCAACATTATTTTATTTATCATACTATCAAGTTATAGTCAGGTTATACTCAGCTTATACTTTATAGAAAATATTTGTATAAGATTTGAATCGACACTGCACTGGCAGTTAAGAATTTACAGAGTTTACAGAGTTTACAGAGTTTACAGAGTTTACAGAGTTTACAGAGTTTACAGAGTTTACAGAGTTTACAGAGTTTACAGAGTTTACAGAGTTTACAGAGTTTACAGAGTTTAAAGAGTTTACAGAGTTTACAGAGCTTACAGTTTACAGAGTTTACAGAGTTTACACCATGTTTTGGGAAGAAACTGTGTCAGATAAATATTATTAAAATATATTAAAATGGGAACAAAAAAGTGTGGACTAATTTTCATTTTATGAAATGTTTCAAAGGATTTAATTATTTTAATCTGAGTCATTTTTCAAAATGTGCCCTGAACATTTTTGGAAGTATTTATGTCTAACATTTACAAATAAAAAAAGATTTTTATTTTTATATAATTTGAAATTGAATAGAGACTGCAGAACAAATAAAACCCTAGTTAAAGGGAGTGACCGGCTATGTAAGGTAGTTGAACTGAGTATGCAGTGCTGTGGAAAACTTTTTTCGGATTCATATTAAACAAGATTACTTACTTGCGATGATAAGATTAATTTTTATACTCAACATGTTCCTATACATGGCATCTGTTGTTTATTGTAGAATTTTTTACATTTTATGTCGTCGTTATTTAATAATTTAAAAAAACTAATTCTAAAAACGTATCCACACCCAAAGTAGGAGTTTTGAACGTCGAATTTGCGCTCAAACTCAGGATTTACAGATCTTTAAAAAGTTTAATATGTCTCAAATGAATCCGAAAGGAGTTTTCCACAACACTGCATACCCAGTTCAACTACCTTACAAAGCCGGTCACTCCCTTTAAGCTTAAAAAAACATTTCAGATTGCCGATCCTTGATAAAGATGAGGGGCGTGTATGGGACCGGGGGCGGGGGGGGGGTGAGCCACATTTAAAGGTTTTGGCTCTGCTGTCCTTTGTGAGTGGGTTTTCATCGTACTCTGTATTAGACAAATAATTCACGGATTTTTCGGTATTAAGTTTTTCGGTATTAAGTAATGCTTTTCAAAAGAATCCCCCTGGAAAATTAATTTATGTATGGTAACTCTCCTTTTCAAGTTTTACTGGAAACAGTACGATTTTCACTGATGTTTAAACAGGTGGGAAAAAACTTTTATAAAGATTCATTTTGAGAATGAAGAATGTTCAAGAATTATGATAAAAAATTCATAAAATTTCATTATAAAAACTTTGTAGTAAAAAAAAAATACACGTAAATAAAAGAATAGAGTCTTTGCCACAAATTCAAATTTTCTTGTCAAGCTGTATCTTTGCAAAAATTTACCCACAATACTACATTCTCAGTTCAACTACCATATATTGCCGGTCACTCCCTTTAATTATAGATTTTCTATTTAATCGCAATTCAATACTACGCATCAAAATATTATATAAAGATACTTCTACGTTTTAATAATTGATTAAATCTAATTCCCGGCTATTCAATCTACAATATATATAACTCTTTTCAACTAGAAATTAAAGTTTCTATTTCTGTTAAAACCATTGTTTACAATTTACGATTCAACCTTGAGCAACTGTGCAAAGGATAAAAAAGTTTGCCAATGGAATAAAATTTCAATAAAGATCATAAATTTTTATTCTTCTGCAATATGAAATTGAGAGTAAAAAGGAAGATTATTTTAATATTAAACCTTCATAAAGGAACTGTACGCTAAATTCTACGAGTAACAAAAAAATTAAAATTTGTATTTTTTCTTGAAAATAGTCGATTTATTGTCTTTTCAAAAAAAAAAGATAAAAAGTGATATCAATGCAAGCCTTTAATGAAGATGGACTATATAGACAGAAGGAGAAAGTCAAATTCATGCGACATAACTGTGACAAGCTTCAGACCTCGTGGCTCCTCTAGTTTGGATTTTATTCACAAGTATAAGAAACCCAAATTCACTATAGTTTCAGTAGAAGTAAATATTTTCATTTACTGATAGCGCCGATTGAAGGATTCATAACTCTGATTGGATAATGAGATAGATAGAAAGATAGATGTTACCCACCACACTATTTCTATTGGTTCAGAATAGACAATAAACACATGACTGAACCCTGATTGGATCAGGCGCTAATGGACTCGACATACGGAGTGAATTTATCTGGTTAAAAACCGGAAATTTTCAACTTTTTTGCTTTTCTCAACAGTTTTTTAATAAAAGGATTTATGATTAAAAATATATTCGAATAAAGTTCTACGTGTAATTCAATTTAGTTGTAAATGGTTTATGGAACTTTATTTTCACAGTACGAGAATAACTGAAAAACATTTAAGAAAAGAACAGAGTAATGAAAACAACGAGTTTCAATATTTATCGAAAATAACAGAGAACAGAGTTAAAAATAAAAACATTTCAATGGAACACTTCAAAAACAGGTATGAAAATTAATCAAAAATATATAATGGTGTACACAAAGGGTGCTGTGAAAATCAAACTAGTTAAATCGATTTTTTTTTAGTATCAATATATTAATTACCATCTCCCTTTTTAGTTGATTAATATATTAATTACTAACCTACAGAAGTCACGGGCACTCGCCCTTTAATAATCAAACAAGCTTATTAACTCTGTGCTTATCATTCTGAAATAATTATTAGTATTGCCCTTGAACCATTGTGTGGTGTAACCTTGTATCTAAGAGCAGCAGTGCTTTTTCATTAGAATCTCTGGGCAAAAACTTGGTGCAAGAAATCTACAAACTGTGGAGCAAGAAATCCGCCAAACTCCGGGTTCACCAAAGATTCTCGGATAGGTACAGCTACAACAAGCCTAACCGGGGTTCATACACCAGAGTGTTGAGAATGGGTTTGAATAATTTATTTTACAAATATGTTTCTGCTAGAAGAGAGGGTTTGGAAGGAACAGTGAAATTAAATAAATCAATGTCAAGATGGTTAGGAGGGAGCCTAGTAGCCTAGACCCTATACATGCAAAGAATTCAAAGCATGATTCACAACGGTACCTTAAGATTGTCTGATCAAGTAAATTTATCAGATGTATTATTGTTTATAATTTTTAGAAATGATTATTTTCAATTGTGGCTTCTCTATAAAGTGACTTCCACATTTCTTCGCAAGAAAACCTATATGAATTATCAGAAATAAACACTATTAAGCCTAAAAAACGACAATATTTTTCATATTATTTAACAGATTCATATTTAAGGATACCGCTGTGAAAAAACAGAAAATAACAGAATCAAATCTATTCGTATGATTTGACATGATGTGACATAACCATTTTGACGGTTTTGAGTAATTTATATGTAAGATGCATATTAAAAAAATACATTTATATTATTAAATATTTTTAGCTAAAAAAAATCAAATTCCTAAGTCTAAGAAACACGCCCCCTCTTTCAATAAAATTGCAGAAGGGTTAGTTGAAAAAAGACTATACAAAACATACACTCCTAATACCTCACGTGTATCAAGAGCTGGCAGGGTTACAAAACTGTAGTTGGGCTAGAGCTGATGTTGTTTTGCAAAAAGAGGAGAAAAATTCCGGAATTTTGAGGGAAATCCGTGTCAGCCTTAATTAGCTGAAATGTCAAAACATGTTGTTTCAACACGAGGAGCTAGAAATGTACTATTACTGAATTTTATCAGTTTATCCCTTGATTTTTTTTGTGATTAAATTTTAATTTTTTTATCGGTTTTTCTCCCTTTTCATTTTATATTATATGTTTTCTTTCTAAGATTTTCTATTCTTTTTTTTTTAAATTTAATTTTTTCGGATTTTCTTATTTTCCTTTCCTTTCCTTTCCTTGATTTTCTAATTTCTTTCTGGATTTTTCTTTTTTCTTCTTTCCTTATAAGTTTTCATTTTTTCCTTTCAACTTTTCTTTCTTATTCCCTTTCTTCTTCCTTTCTAATCCTTTTTTAGCTTTATCTTTACTTCTAGATTCCTTTTGTTTTATATCTAATAAGTTACTTATTTACTATAGAAGTTTACAAGTTACATTCTTTGTTAAGAGAAAAAGAATCAACATTGATTATATAATGTATATATTACTAGCTAAAGGGCCCGGCGTTGCCCGTGAAAAAAAAATATTTGAAAAAAAATTGAATTTTTTTTGCCTTAGACACTCCCCAGCCACGCGTGTCCACATAAAACTTTAGCCCATTCGGTCCAGCCGTTTGGCCGGCTATAGGCAACATATATATGAATGTCTTGTTTTATTATATAGATAGATACATAATTTATTGGATATTATATACAATATATACATCATATATATAATATATATATATAAATCTAAATATGATCAATGCTTTGTTCTAACTTCTCTCTTATTTTTTGCATACATAGTGTTGAATGACTCAGGCAAAATGTTTGCAAAAAGTTTGCAAATATATATTCAAGTGACAGTTGACATAATTTAAAGTGACCCTCCATTTAAAAAAAAACATGTACGATACACAACGGTACTCTTAAAAGTTTTGTCTAATAGAGAGTGAACGAGATATTTAGAAAATTGGTTATTTCCATGCTAGAATAACGTCAATATCTACAAGATTATTAAGGGTACCATTATGAATCGGACATGACCCTCTTTAAATGTAGGATCGCTTGAAATACGAGAACAGTCCCTAAAAAAAACAGAAAATATAAAAATTAGCTTCCCCCCCCCCTGTTAGACCTGATGAAAGCGTGGCCCATGGCGTAGAAAAAGTCTGGCAACACAAGCTGCCAACACAAAATGCGTAATTTGCTAAAAAATGAGACTATATACGTTCGGTGGAGGGGGGAG